TGGAAATTTCAGGGATGGTGTGAATGGGATGACGTGATCCAGACGACACGACTCTTCCTTCATATACCAATCAATTTAAAGGGCTTATTTGCCCTGCCCTAATTTCTGACAAATCTTTAAATGGTAAAAGAGCCCATTGAAATAAAAGTTTAAGAAGAGGCGAAAAGAGAAAAATCAGGACTTACATGTATAATAATAAATTATTAATTAATTATTATATTATTTATATTAATTTATTTAATAATATAAATTATATTATATCATTGATCTTAAATGTTGTACCACTCTTTCGTCCTCTATAGCCACTCCTCTTAAATATTATTTCTTTTGGTTTTTTACCAGTTGAAAAAAACAACTACAATATCTTTTCTTTTTGGGCCAGCAACGGGTACTTTTATAGATGGAAAGTTAACACTCATTAATAAATGAGTTGACTTGAGTGGATCTTTCTTTCCTTTTAGAGAAAAAATAATAATAAAAAGATGCAACTTAAGAATTTGGTTGGGCTAAAAGTTTCAGAAATTCCACGGAAAGGGGTCTCGGTACCTTGTGAGGTGGGGTGGGGCATTTTAGTCATGGAATTCGGCAATTCGCAACTTCCCTTCAACAAGCTTCAGTTATTGGGGCGAGAACAGTGGAAATTTTTATGGATGAATGTACCTAAAGTTGTAAAAATCAAAAGTTCAAGTAAAAACATTTTGATTAGATAAATTTAAAATTGTAAAATTAAATTGATAAAATTTAAAATTTATATATGATTAAAATTTAACATTAAATATTTAAATTTAAAATTTATCTAAAAAATTTAATTATTAATTAATTATTTTAAGTCTTTGTTAAGTATTTTTTATTTTATAATTATTAAACTGTTTCGAGTGCTGACTTGAATTCGTGTGTTTGGATCAAAATCTGCTTCCAATGAATGTCAATTTCATGGGTAGTGGCCACGTCTTGGTCGAAAAAAATGTAAGCTTTAGCTATGAGAACATAGAAGAGAGGAAAGGTAGGAACAGTTTCAAAAAGGAGTTCGAGTTCGAAGAATTTACAAGGGGAAGATAGTGAGGAAGTGAATGTTGGCGCTGAAAGCGGGTACCCTAGGAGCTTGCTGAACTGTTTCTTATAAGAAATGTATACACATTTTGCAAACAGGACGAGCCCCAACAGTGATAAATCTTGGTGGAAACAAAAGAAGAAGGAGAAGGAGCGATAGTCAAGGAGGAAGTGGGAGCCTAAGCATTTTCTGAAGATCGTTGATTGGTCTCCCACCCTAGGAAGTGGGAGCCTGAGCATTTTTGAAACACTCAATCTACATTATGCTTGTCCATTAAAGTTTTGATTTTTTTTTTTTCAGTGTTCTGTGATGCAACTGTATCTGTCATTAGCCATTCTTGACTATTTTAACACTATTTTTTCCTCTTTGATATGCCACTTTTAATTTGTTGAGTTTTAATTTGTGCTTTAAAGTTCAACATTGGGTTTACCTTTTGTTTGAGCTGACTTTTGTTTAGTATTTGCTACATTTGGTTTAGTATTTTGTGATTCCAATAAAAGGTTTAAATGCTGCCGTAGAAGGCATTGATTCCAACTGAGAAAAATCCAAATTTGGGTTTGAGAGAGGAAGAAGAAGAGAGAAGAGAGAGAGAGAGAGAGAGAGAAAGAATAAGAAGAAGAAAGAAGAAGGATGAGCAGGGAGGAGGAAAAGAAGAAGAAGATGAAGTTTGAGAAAGAACCCAAATCTGGGTTTGCAGAGGTAAGGGAAAAGGAAAGGTAAAAGAAAGAGAAAGTGAAAGAAGAGGAAGAGATGGCGTGGATGGAAAAAAAAGATATCATTATTTTAAATTAAATAAAAATGTCAATTCATACAAAAGATGATCAACTATGTTTTTTTTTTTTTCATTAATTAAGAAAAAAAGAATTGAGTTGTTGATTAGTTAACCTGTCACTTGTCCATTTAATTGATGAAAGGATAGTTTTGGTATCGAAAATGAAAATTTAAGAATAATTTTAATATTTTTTAAAGTTGAAAAATAATTTTAGTCGAAAAATAAAAAATTAAAGGATAAAAATGGTATTTAAACCTTCATTTTTCCCTGCAGAAAAAAAAGTATAATAAAGAGATGCAAGTCAGCAACTTGGTTGGACTAAGTTTCAGAAATTCCACGGAATGACGGAAAGAAGTTTCGATACCACGTGGAGTGGGGTGGGGCCCTGCGTCATGGAATTCGCAACCTCTCTTCCACATGCCCCATCATTGGGACGAGAACATTGGAAAATTTTATCAATGAATGTATCTAGACAGTTCAGGCACTTTTTTACTTACTGGAATTTCTGTGTGCTTTAAGAGCTGAGACTTGATCGGTACTTTTTCTTTTGTTGAATTGTGTATAATTTTGGGGAAAAGGAAATGAAATTTTTAACATGTTCGTAAAGTTTGAAATCTCGATCAATAAATATAAATACTTAAAAGCTTGAGGTGAATCACTCAGGTATTGTTTGGATTGGAGGTGTCGGACGGAGAGGGAAGGAAAGGAATGGGAACGGATGGCAAGGGAGGGGGAGTGAGGAGGAGCTGTCTCCTTCTTCCTGTTTGGGTTTCCAAAGAGGCAGAGGGGGAGGGAGATGGACTGATTCGGACTCCCTTCAACTCCCCTCAAGTATGCAGATTTGCAATCCATCAGATTTGGGGGGTTTGGGAGGGATTTAAGTGGCTGTTTACATTAAACTAAATGTAATTACAAAATTAATCTTAATTTTTTTATTATATCTTTCTCCATTACAAGTTTAAAGGGTAAATTTATAAATTTAAAATTAATTTAAATCTTTCCCTTCCTTCCCTTCCTTTTATCTTAATTATCCAAATATAAAATAATACAATTCTTCCTTTTCCTTTCTCTTCTTCTTCCTCATTTTTATTTATCCAAACAAAATTAACACAAATCATTTTCTTCTATTTTCTTCCCTTCCCTTTCTTTTCTTCCCCCTCCATTTCTTTTTATTTTCCTCCATTCCCCTCCCTTCCCTTCCCTTCCCTTTACTATTTTCTATCCAAACAAGGCGTCAGAGTCGAACACCGGATTCGAGACTTGATCGGTACATTAATACCACGGGGTTGTGGAAATTTCAGGTATTGTGTGAATGGGATGACCTGATACAGACGACACGACTCTTCCTTCGTATACCAATCAATTTAAAGGGTTTATTTGCCCTACTCTAATTTCTGACAAATCTTTAAATGGTAAAAGAGCCCATTAAAATAAAAGTTTAAGAAGAGGCGAAAAGAGAAAAATTAGGACTTACATGTATGATAATAAGTTTATGATAAATTTAATAAAAATAAAATTTACAATATTTTATATATTTAATAATTAATTTTTTAAATATTTTTATACAAAAAGGTGCTAATTTTTCTCTCTTACCAATATACAAAATTGAGTAATTGACCCGTCCCAATCTTCGTCTAAAATATTAATAACAAATATCAATTATTAATTATTTTTAATAATTAATTAACTTTAATTAATATATTAACTTTAATTAATATTTTTAAAAGTTATTTTGATATTTTGTGTTTTATTTTTTAAAAATATTATAAATGAAATATAATAAATTTTATTAATTATTAATTAAAAATTAAAAATTAATATAAGATATATAATTATTAAAATAGATAATATTTATTATTTTTAAAAAATTTAATTTATTAGATTTATTGTAATTATTAAAATATAATAAATTATAATATAATTGATTTATGCGAAATTGAATTTCAAAAAGTAATTTTATAATTATATTAAATATTAAATATTTTAAAAAAAAATCATAGTAAAAAAAA